ATTCTGAAAAGAATGAAGCGTCGCACAGCTCTCTACGATCTTTCGTTGCAAAGTTACAGGCATCAGAAAATCCAAAGAAATGGTATAATTTACGGAAAAAACGCTAAAAATCGCCTAAAAAACAAGCAGAAGTACATTTCTCTGGATTTTCTGATGCCTGTAAGTTTACAACGAAAGATCGTAGAGAGCTGTGCGACGCTTCATTCTTTTCAGAATTTTATGCTCTTTTAGATGGCTATATTGAAAATATTTTGAGCAGAATTCTCTAGGACTTAGAGCTCCGCTGAAGGGGGTTTTCTAGAAAAATTTCTTCAAAACCTTTTTTCTGGAATTTTACTGCAAAATACTGCATTTGTTAGAAAACTTCAAGGGCCATCCAAATCACTATTCAGATTTGATCTAGACACTCGGCTTCATCGAAAAATTTCTGTGGGAGAACGAAACTGCAAATTGTTAGTGGACATTTTATATGAAATAAAGTCTTTTTTTTTCAGACAACTTATCTCCCGCTTGTTCAATAAATCGACTCAGAAGAACTTTCCTTCAAGCAAAGGATTATCCTTCCACTTGTCTATCTTTTTGGTACTAGTTTAAATTAGTTAATTTTAAGTTTAAGCTTTCTGCTTATATAATTCAAAGAAAAGAGATGGTGTACGTACCAACAGAATTAATAACATCTTTAATCCATATTCTTTCAACATCCGTTGCTAATTGATAGTTGGCAAATAACCATAGTAAAATATGTATTAACGTTCCATAGCAAACTTGTGTATTATACTGAAGTAGATCGATTAATTTTTGTTTTGAGTCGTCGGATACTAATGACGGAATACTAGCCAATAATGTTATTGTTTTTGTTAAATAATCCGTCGATGAATATTTCGGTTGTTGATAATTAAATGCTGTTGATCGTATTTCACGTAGATATTCTTCACTAACATCATTTTGAATCATTGAATTATCTGTCTCATTTGTAAAATTAATAGATTCTAGTGCATTTGATGAGGCAAATAAGGCACATCCCAAATGTCTTGAGAGCCAATATTTTTTTAACCAGACACTTGTTGATGTCAATTGTATTGATAAATTATCAATTTGTCCAAAATTTTCTGTTGTATCGTCTGCTGACCATGTTAAATAGCACAACATAAACAAAGTCAAATCAAATACAGAACGTTTATCATCATCGTTAATTTGTGTTAATGATAAATATAATTCATTATAATTCAATAATAAACGAATAATTAGGCGATATTGATCTAATGCTGATATANATTGAAATATAATGATCAAAATTTTCAAATAATAAACGAAGATTATCAATAATGTCTTGCTGTTGTTGTGGTTGTAGAGAAAATGATGGTGATAGATGAACATTTTCGATTATTCTAGGCAATGATTTTTCTAAATTTCGTTGTAAATGTAATATTTGAACAGAATTTGGTAATTGCATTGGTCCATCATCTACACAATAAGAAAAAACAACAAAGTTGTTATAAACAACAAGATATGAAAAATATGTCATAATATTTCGATATATTACAGATAGATAGTAGAACGTATTACAGTTGAGCCAGCTAACTCTGCTAGCGGAACAAAATTCTGTCATTTTTTTTGTATTTTACTTCTTCTATGATTATCGAGATGCTCAGAGAGCTCTGAGACATCTCAAATTACAGAGAAAATTGTGTTGAGAATTTTGGAATTGACATACTTTACACGATCTTTTATGTAGAAAATATGACAGAAATACACACACCTAGTTTTTATGACAAGTTTTGAAAAGTGTAGAGTGCATGTTTATCTTAAAATTCTCAACACAGTTTTCTCTTTAATTTGAAATGTCTTAGTACTCTGAGCATCTGACCATTTGAAAATCATAAGAGAAGCAAATGCAATAAAAAACAAATACATAGCAGAGTTAGCTAGCCAAACTATTTAGATTCTAAGCATGAAAAATAGTCATTCGAATAAAGATTGCATGTGTGTGAGTGAACACTCCATACATCTTCATCCCGTTGACTTTTCTTTCTCTAACTTGTTTGCTGTTGTTGAATCAATAGTTGTTGCATATAAGGATTTCTTGTTTGTTGTATTATATTGACTAATTCGGTAATTTTTTGTTGATAATTTGTTCTTAGAAGTGGTGACGTATATTGTAATATATTACACAGTAGTTGTTCTAAAAAATTTTCCATATACATTTCATCTATTCTATCCAAAACATATTCATTATGTAATAATAATAATTCAAATGTTTGTTTTAATGCATCAAAATTTTTTTCAATTAATGCTGCTAAAATTCTTGGTAATTGATAATTAATATAGGCATTCCATCGTTGTTCATGTTCAAGTATATGATAAGATGATACATAACCACTAATACTTGCTTGTAAAAATTTTAAATAAATCATTGATGTTACTGGTGTTACAGATTGTTCTTCAAAAAATTTAATAATTGTTAAAAATATTGGTCCACTTATATGTAATTTATTAACAACTAACATGGATACAATTGGATTAAATAAATCAATATTAAAACTAATTTCTTCTTGATGAAATTGTTCAGATAAATGTAAATTTGTTATTTTAAATAAAATTTGTTCATAATGTGTTTTTTGTAATTCTAATCGACAACCATCATGTTTTAATAATCGTTGTGATATTTGATTTAATTCTTCAATTAATTTATTCCATTCTGCATGATCATGCAATGATTTAATTGTCATTAACCATACACAATAATATTGAGATTGACTGAATAGAAGTAGAAAACAATCGATAATTGTTTCTAACATACTTTTTATTAATTCAATATTATGATACAATGATGTCGTGTCAGTTATTGAAGATAAATGTTCATATAAATAATTTGAATAAATAATTAAACCGTTACTTAACCATTTTGCAAGTAAATTTAATTGTTTACCCAATTTTGGTGCTTGTTTTGATGTTAATTGCATAGTTTTTAAAGTATCAATTAAAAGTTCAATTAAAAATTTTAATTTAACTTCATCATCATCATTGAATCCAGTTTGTTGTGGAAATACACAAATGATTAATCGATCGATAACAAGTGATACATCAATATAGCCAGAACGTGTATGAAATTTAAAATAGGATTGTAATAATATTGAAGATGTCACTGTATCAACATTAAGTAAAACTTGACCTAAATAAAATACAAAGTCATGCTCAAAATCATTCAAACAAAAATGACTTCACTCATTTTGTTTTTTTTTACTCATTTTTCCATTATCATAGAATATACACACTATCATAAAAAAGTATTTTGTTATTAACAAAAGTGATCATTTTTAACGAAATAAAATACATACGAGTAAATATTGTTCGAAATTCATCATCTGTATCACATTTTGATATTATCGGTAATAATTTAGCTGAAAAACTTGTATCATTTAAACGTTTTTTCCATGCTTCTGTTAGTTTTTCTTCAATGATATTTGCTTCTAATACCATTTTTTTTTGTTTTATATCAATATATATTACTATATAAAACAAATTAACAAAATATTTAAAAACAAGAAAAGTATATCTATTGGATATAATATCACAAAATTCATAGTGAAAACAAAAGCATCAATTCGTGAAATAAATCAGATATGGAAAAATTCTCTTCATTCGAAACATAGAATATGAAAGGATCTGTAATTTAGAGAAAAGTGGACATATAGTAGTATTCGGAAAAAAAAAGAATACAAACTAACGTAAAATCTGTTTCTATCAATTACGTTTTTCCTATTCTTTTTTATTCGTATTTAAGGGTGACACTTTAGCTTTACTTTACTTGTAACTAGTAACGAACTTAGTTACTCGTTACTAGTAAAGAAGTAACTAATCTAATTATTTCGTTACCAGTAACGAGTAACTCAGTTCGTTACTTTCTGAAAGAGTAACGAAAGTAACGTCGAGTAACTAGTAAAGTGTCACTCCCTATTCGTATTTGAATTTGTTGGTAATGTCATATAAAGCTACAAAGTGAGGATAATGTATATGAAGGTAAAGTTTATTACATCATAAACATGTAAAATTTAAAACTCAATTGAAGCGAAATTGGACAGTAAAAGAAGAAGAAATAATCAGCATGATATAAAATATAGAATAAAACAAAAAATGAAAAGCTGAACAGGTGTAAAAAAAGTTCTATATAAAAATAATTTTTTATTTAAGACAAAATATTAGCTGTTTCTCATCGAAACGAAACATAAAAAAGAAAAGAAAAAATATTCTTTAAATTACAAAATAAAATTTATTCACCGTCATATATGTAAAAAAAGTAATAACTGAGAGTTATTCATATAAGCAGTATTTATAACAAGAAAAAGTTTTAGTATGTCAAAAAATAAAATACTGTTGTCTATTGTAGAAAATAAGATACACAGGGATCGTTGACTATAAAATGAAGTACGGATTTTTAGAATACTAAAAACAATACATATATATATATATACATATATATAGAAATACACTGTTCTATAATTAATGATCACGTTCTACTGGAGGTCGATATTCGAGATTAAGAAATTTAAAAATGGATTCTTCTGTTGGTGTAGGTAATGTTGTACCATTATTTATTTTTACACCACCCTGAACAGTTAAAGTAAGTGAGATGAGATTACATGTTCGCTGAATTTTAACTTACTTTTCTAATAACACCGGTATTTAAACGATGTTGAGATAAATACCTGAAAATAAAACAATTCATTAATGAAAGTGTTAAAACAATTGTAGAAAAAATGTTTCTTACATATTCATTCCATGTGCTAATTTTCTCATTGACCGATTAAAATATGCCGAACCTGTTAAACAAAAATTGACTTTTTTCTATTGATAAAATTTTAAATCAATAAAAACTAAACCTGTAAAATAAAGTAGGGCACAAGCATATTCACTATATGGTATAATAATTATATCAATTCGACGATGCTAGAAAACAACAACAACTAAATGTTTATCAATAATTAAACATCATCTATATTTTACATACCTTTTGATTTTCACCGGGTAATATGCAAACACCAAAGTATTTCATATGTGCACTATAAAACAGATAGATATATTGTTGTTAAGAGTGACATAGATGTTTGTTATTTCATACCCAGATTCTTCGTCGTGCTTATCTGAGTAACTTAAATCGTCTGTAAGAAAACCTTGAAAAGAAGAATAAACAATCGTAGATAAACATTAATGTCTTGTGTAAAGTACACGTCTTTTTTTTTGTTTTTCATTTACCACTTTTCTTTAAATTATCAATTACTGGATGCAATAATCCTAGAAAATCAGTATGAATTAAGTATTAATTAGCAAAAATGAATAGCAGTACTTGTACGTACCTTCATGCGATAAACCATCCGGATGTGTGATTAGAATATCAATATCGCCGCATGTTGGTTTCCCTCGACGATAAGAGCCACACGTCTGAACGATCGAACCAGGACAAAGCAATTCCACAGCATCCTTTACCTATAAAGTTCAAAATAAAAGAATTTGACTCTTACATAAAAGAGATGAGACTTTATTGACTTGTGTTTCGTACTATGCTTTCAATTTGTGCAACTTCATCACGTGGAATTCGTTCAAGAAATTCATCATAATACTTCAAACCAACTTGTTGATTTGGTGTTAATTTTGCTTTAGTACGAATATCATCCAATGTTCGAAAACCCTTCAACGACAAAGAGTTGTATAAAAATTACTTCCATCATTGAAAACAATAAGACAAATGCCCTCATCTAAGTTGATCGAAATTTCTGAAAAATGTATTTCTTTAGTGATCATTTCAGCACAGTGAGAGATCAACACTAAGACATACGCAATTCTACACGAGTTTTCAAAGATGTTTCGAACTTAACACTTGATTCGAGAAAGTTTATAATGAAAATTCGACTAAAGATATCAGTCTGAATGTTTTCTATATTACTTGATCAACCCATTGTTTCGCTATAACCACACCAGCTCCCCATATATTTCCGAATATATTTAATGCAGTTATGTCGTCACGTGATTGATATTCTTCAAGTTTTAGAAAACCTCCAGTTTCAATAATTTCCCAAATTTTATCGGCTAAACGTTGACCAATTCCGGGTAATGCAACTATTTCCTAAAGTAATAAAAAGTATAATATTTAATCTCTAAGTTAAATTATCATTCTAACTCTTACCTCGAATGTTGTTACTCGTTTTGGATGCCGTTTAAGCATAGCAACTGCTTTTTGATAACTGTATGCACGCCATTTGTCTGCAGCTTTTTCATATAAATTAGCCATTTCCTACAATGAATAGTGAGAGTATAATCGATGAAAATTGTACAGCTAACAGAACATACTTCTAATTTATCTGTTATCTCTTTATTCTGATTTGTTTTCACTGGATTTAATGAAGATTGCGCACACTGCCAATTTCCTTTCTAAAAAAATGCGAAAAAATACTCATGAAAAATTTTATTTCGATTATGTTTACTTACAGGAAGAGCGCCTTTTTTCACCGGATTTTTTACTAACTAGAAAATAAAATTTTTTAATATCCGAAGAAAGAAACAAAAGTGTATCATTAAACATACCATGATTTCGTCATCTGAACCATCGCTTTCGGATGAATACGCTCGTCGTTTTATTTGTGCTGCAGAGCCTAAACACAAATATCGTCTTCTTACTGTTTTAAATATGGTTTTACTTACCTAGTGGTTCATCGCTAGACAATGTACGTTTTATGGATTTTGGTGCAGCTAAGTGTGAAGACGTTTCCGAAGGTTTATTTGTAACATCAGGTATTTTGGATTGTGTTGTATCTGATTGTGCGAGCGATTGGCTTTTTGCCTCTATCTCTGCTGCTGTTGTTGTTGTGGACGTTGTCTGTGGCTTTTTGACGGTATATTTCAATGTATAATCAGCAGTTGGCAATAGATATTTGGATTTTATAGAATCAGTCAACCATTTAGTCGAAATTAATACTGGACGATTATTTTCACTGTTACTATTATCTGTGTCGTTCCTAACATCTAATTTTAATATTTTTAAAACAGTTGGTAGATCCAAACTTTCTTCGACTATAACAAATTTAACTTTTTGACAATCAAAATCTTCTGCTGAATTTAATCGAAATTTTGAAAACGCATCTTTGAATATTGATAAACGTCCTTTACCCAGACTATTTGGTAATAAATAAATTTTTGACTTGAATATTGACTCGTCATTTAATGTTGTTGAAGACATATGTTAGTAGATGTCTAAAAAAAGGGCGAGATAAAAACAATGCGTTATTACGAATAGTTTTTTATGAATGCTATGAACTAATAGCTAGATCAAGAGATACTGATACAAAGTATAAGTTGCAAACTACTGCAGAACCTGTTACAAAGACAAACTTTGCATGTATCTTCAGCTTATGCGTTATATATATATCTTGAAAAGTCCATAAAAATATTAAATATTCTCATTTACTATATGAACAACACTATAAATAATAAACGAGTTAGTTCTCTACGCTAAAAGAAGTAATATAAATGAATTTTATGTCATAAAAACAAATAAAACCGAAGTGTAGTGTAGTCTTTCTATAATAGCACGGTCTATAAGCAATGTCTGACAGCCAATCAGTGCAAAGCGTTAGCTTGTCGAGTAAAATTGGAAATTTACTGATGGCGCCACTTCGTATCCTACACATGTATAATATCTTGAAGCAAAACTGCATACATTGACAAGATTTTTATAGACGATCAAACAGGAAAAAAATATAACAAGAGCCTGGAGGATGTTTCATAAAAATTCTTAAATGCTCGACTTAACTAAGTCTATAGACTTAAGGATACCCCCCCCCTGCCGGGGGGTTTTTTGTGGGAGTTATTTTTTTTTAATTTACAAATTTTAAATGTTATTAAACTGTGTGGGTGAAAAAATTA